TAAGATCATCGAGTACACCTGTTAACTCAGTGCTACCATCACAAAATCCTGCCCCTAAGTGCTGCATCCACACGTTTTTTAAACGTCTCCAGGGATGATGATTCCACCACCACAGGTTACCCTATGGTATTACTGGAATGTGGAAAAGGATGAGCAGGCAATGCAGAAAACTCCTTTCCCCCAGAAAACGTTATTCCAATGGCTGGAATCACCTTCTCCCTTTCCCCTCCCTACCTAAGTACCACTGGGTACTTAGTCATGCTCAAAATCTCCCTGGGCTAGCGAGTACTTCTGTAATTCAGAAGAGAACAGCTTCAGCAGAAAGGGTGGTAGATACCTTACACCAGTGCCTTTCATGACTTCCAAAGGAACCTCTTGCACCTGGGCTGAGCAGTCTTTGGTTCCTTCCCAATGCTAGTATGTGTCACAGCCTTAGAGCAAGCCAGTGTGTTGCACTGCTGCTTATGCTTCTGCTACAGGGCGAAGGGAAATGGTTTTCAGCATAAGCACTGTAGTCTGTAAGACAAGTAGGGTGGTGGTCAAGCAGCTTGGTCACGGCTTATGTGCCTTTATGACCTTGTGATTACACAAGTAAAATTAGATCAGCAGTGATTAAAAAAAAACCTCACCTCCCTTTAATTTTCCTATTTGATAGTACTCATCTTTACAGCCTTTAAGCTAGACTATGAAGACAAGCAGTTGTTGGCCATTGACAAATATTCTTTTGCAAGATCTTAAAATTTATGCCAGATAGCTTTGCCTATTAAATCAAAACAAGTTTAATCAACCAACTTGTTTTTAATGTCTTAAAATTATGTCTTTTTAAAAAGCTCCTATGCAAAGAATCATTCCTCTGTGCTGTGAATTCAGCAAAGCACTTAACTTGATTCTAGGAAACCTCAAAGAACATCTTCCTGCTCCTGAAGAGTAAGAGAACCATAGAAAGGCTTGGGTTGGAATGGACCTTAAAGATCACCTAGTTTCAACCTTCCTCCCATGGGCAGGGATGGCACTCATTGGATAAGGTTGGTCAGGGCTCCATCCAACTTGGCCTTGAACATTTCCAGAAATTTCATGCAGAGATGATTACAGCTGTATTGAAATTCTTCCTGCATTTTCCTGCTTTGACAGTATTCTCCCCAACAGTTTTGTAAAGGAGCAGAAAGAGCAGACCTGCTTTTATGTCTGTAATGCATTTCAGATGATGGAGTGCACTGACACAGCTCAGAGAACAGCTGCAGGCAAGAGGAGCAAACAATGCTAAGAATGGAATAGTGACCATTTAAACCTGGGATTCTGTTGTGTAAGGGAGCAATTTTTCCATCTTGAAAGGATATTGAAGAAATAAAGCAAGATTCTGGGCAGGAAAGCAAGACTGCTTAAGGGAATGGAAAAATTCTTACTTTGAGAGACATCAAAAACATTGACAGCTTTGTCTCTAGGAGGGTATGACTTAGAGGATACAAGCTGATCCTAGTTCAAAAAAAATAGGACTCTAAAGGTAGCTGATGTCCACCTAAGAACAATGGAACGAATGCTCAGTGACATGCTAAGTGTGTTGAATTTGAAACCATTAAAGGGAGTTGGCTTTTGTCATGTTACATTAACAACCTCCTTAGTCACAGAGAATCACTGCAGTTGGCTGTCTTTCATTAGTCACCTTCATTCCCACGCAAATTTCCCATCTTTTCTGTGTTCCCTACCCACCCTCATGGAACACCACAATTCAGTGTGAGGAAGTCCCATATTCTCATGTTCCCTACCCTTGCAGAATCTTCTAGCTGGAGAAGAAATACTTTGAGCTGGGATGGCCAGACACTGTGATTTCAGCCACTCATCCTCTTGGGCACCATCTTTTAGCTATCAAGTGAGCTCCAGAACTTCTCAGCTGCTAATGGCCAACAGAAGCTTCAGGAGCTGGACATAGGCCCTCAGCCATACTTTGTATTGGAATAGCTGAGGTAGACAATACCTCTGGAACTTGTCTAGGCCTGCTTAAAGCAGGAACAGGTTGTCCTGTTGGATTTTGAATCCCCAGGGGTGGAGACTCCATCAACTGTGTGCAGCCTACTCCCATAACTTAACTGTCCTTACAGAAAATAAATCTAGTATTTAAAGGTAATACCCTGTACTTCAATTTATGCCCCTTGCCTCTTGTCCTTATTTAGGATTTACTGTCTATGAAATTTGCCTGTATGTCAAATCTGACTGGAATGATGTAGTGATATCAAAAGTTGTTAAGAGGAAAGGCAGCAGGGTGAGGAGCTCAAGACTGTAGCAGTGACACACAGAGGTGATGTTAGTCTGTAACAGGAAGACTGCATATGAACGGGATAGGGGAAGAGGAAGCAGAACCAGTGGTTGCTTTTAGGTCCATACAGAACATTCTTACAGATGTGGGAGAAGAGCAGATATCCCCTTAATCCTGTGATACCTCCAGGGAACTTTCACTTTGAGTTCTTGTCAGATTTAGTGAATATCAAGTTATACCTTCAATTAACTGCTAAATTAATTTTTTCCATGTGTTTCAGAGACAGCTAATAACAAGGAATAGAAGTTATGTCTCAATGAACGTCCTCTTCTTGTACCTGCTCTTCTGTTCACATGAATATTTTTAAATTTTATTGGGTTGGGAAAATAGAAAGGCTTTTATGGATTGATCCACAAGCTGCAGACACATGAATAGGAGGCATCGAAAAAGCTTTATATAATACAGATTTTGTGAAGTCAAGCTGCCAAGACTTCAAGTGTTTGAAATACCCAAGCTTTTGTCTCCCTGCCACAGAGTGCCTTCTATACACACCAGGATAATTTTTCAATAGCAGCACGATTATTCCTTTTCCAATTAGGAATTTTTCCCAGGTTCTGATAACTGACTTCAAATCGTTGAAACCTTCAACCAATATTATATAGGATAAAGGATAGAGTGTAGCTTTTTGTCTTTAAATGATTGTATGTAGGCAGTTCCTCTGAGTGCCTGGACTACCAATGTAGGTGGCTGCTGAAGTGTACAGCATGTAGAGGACTGACAGAGGAAAGTACCCATTTACCAAGTCCTAACTAAATGCAGAGGTGAGTTTTCCAGAAAATAGAAGATAACAGAGTGCAGTGTCCAGGACTCAGCAGTGTGCTGCTCACTCCTCATTTTTAAACTCAAATTTACTGAAGGGATTGTAGTACAATATATGTGATGACTTCTGCAGAAGCAGGGAGAAGAGGGCATTTTTAACTGAGTGGGATGTTTTAGTTGTATAAATCCTAGAAGATAACTTCACAGCTGTTAACATTCATGGTCAATAAAAACGTGTCTTTAGCTGTGTAGCTCTCCTCATATGCATTTGTGGCTTCTAAAATGGATTTCTAAGAGAGAAACAAACCTGTCTAAGAGACAAATATAAGCCTGTTCCCAAAGAAAAGGTTACCTATTATATATTTCCCTGTAGTGCTGTCCTCCTGGATAAATATGCTATCAGGAACTGTCTGGGTCATTTTACAAAATGCTAAATAATCATCATGAAGCTGAATGGCAATATTTTCAAAAATACTTCCTGTGAAATAAAGAGTAGAAATTTATTCTGATGGTGAATGTTGCAGGATCACAGAATCAATCAGGTTGGAAAACACCTTTAAGTTACTTGAGTCCAAATGTTGACTGAAGACCACCTTGTCAACTAGACCATGGCCAGTCATTTCTCAGCCAGGGATGGCAACTCCACCACCTCCCTGGGCAGTCCATTCCAATGTTTAACAACCCTTTCTGTGAAGAAATTCCTCCTGATGTTCAACCTGAACCTCTGCTGGCACAGCTTGAGGCTACGTCCTGTGCAAAGGGACTCTATCTAATACATTTCTGGGGACTGTGTTTACAAGATTCTCTGGCATAACGTTGTAGGACATGGAGAAAATGTCAGTTACATAAAAATGCAAGCACAATATTGCTTTTTTATTAGCTTTATTGTACTAAAGGACTTAACAAAAATCATGTCACCAGCAAATTATACAAATCCCCTCTAAGAGATAATTTCATACTGCATGGACATGTCTGACTCCAGCTGACTCTGGTTTGTATTAAATAATCTAATTGATATCCTTGGCCTATTAACTTTCTGTGAAAGCTGATAGTTCTTGGCTGCATCACTAAATCTAAGGTTTTCTGCTTAGCACCATTCTTATGAACTTGTCAGCTTCATTTAATGTCAGCCTCCTGTAGGCAATGCAATATATTTTAGAACCCAAACACATAGGGTTTTTTTTTTTTGAAATTTTTGCTAGGTGGATGTCACTTTTAATTTATTTTTAGTTTTTCTAGCATTTTGTAAAATGAGCTACTAGTTCTATTAAGAAATCTATTGACATTAAAGTGAGCATCAAAAATTTAATTGAGATTTAGTATTCATGGTCTGGGAGCTACCAAAGCACGTACTATGGAGAAAGGGCCAGTGCCTGCCGTTATTTGCCTCTGTAAACCTGGGACTACACAGAGGTTGCAAGGAGCAGAAATTGGGTCTGTCAAAGAGCTTTCTCATGTTAAAGGTTGGGAAAACAATATGCTCCAATATTTTGTTTACAGGATACACCTCCAGCTCTTAAGCAACACAATCCTTTTTTTTTTTTAAATTCAGTTAAGCATTTTTGATGATAGTTTTGTATTTTATCAAAAGCTAAACAATTTCCAGCCCTCAACTTCATCCAAGGTAGAATTAACCATTCCTCACTGCAGGGAGTGCTGAGCAGTACACTTGAAAGAACAAACTTAATTTCCAAATTAACAAGAAAGTTCTGGTAGAATTTCTTTTCTAATTACCAATAAACACAGCCCTAGAAGAGGTTAAATTTGCACCCTGTCAGCTCTGTGCAGACACATTAGCATGCTGTGCGATCTCAGAAGATCCCTGCCCATCTGGCTAGCTGGGGTTGGCTCTTTTACTCAATGAAAAACTGTTTTTAGGTAAACACTGCAGCAAGAGCAAGTCCTGGAAGAAGAAGATTGGGGCAGTTTATGTGGTTTAAGACAACAGTTTTATTAAAACTAGGTACTGAAATTTATTTTTTGCATTGTTTAATCTGTAGAGAATATAGTAATTTAAAGAAAAAAGAGTCTTACTAAAAGAAACATCTCCTAGAACATACACATTTCAGTACTTTATAAATTGCTTCACTTTCACAGAAAGAGAAGACCTGTTTTGCTGTGGGTTCTTAGTTACATGTGATCGAAATAAACTTTAAGTGACGAAATCAGGATGCCACAAGCTGAATTGCAACTTTGTATTTGGTATGCAGCTCAGTCTAGCAAAGGAAAAAAACCCCAGTTTTTAACATATCTCTATTTAAAACTGGATTTATTAAATGTCTATATACTAAGTAGTTTGCAAATTAAGACCTAAGAGATCAGCTTTTCATACTGGAGAATCACGAATATTGGCCTTTTTGTTTTAAGGAATAGAATCAAATAATATAACTCTGCTTAAATAAAATAAATGTTTTACACTTCTCTGTGGAAGGCTGGTTTTTTTTATTTTGAAAACTTCTATGTTAGAGCCGTAAATAAGAGTGTTTATTTCAGTTATTCTAGACTTCCTGTACCAGAAGAATACATATCAAGAAAATGTCTTGAATGGCTTTGATTTAAATATATAGTCTAAAAACTACAACTGCCTTCCCCTGAAGAATCATAAAGCTAAAAGGGAATTCAGTTCCCGAGTTTTTGCAGAATTGCACTTAATGGAAGCAATGTGTTCTGCCTTGTGCATTGCATCCAGCATGGAACATTTTCCAGGTGTTTAATTTACATTTCGGTCTCAGACTGTCCCTTACTGTGGAAAGCAATGGTGTGTTATTTACTCTCCTACCACCGGTGTCTCCCAAGCAGCGCTATAATGGACGTAGATGCCAAAAAAATGTCGCAGCTGCCATCTAGTGTTGGGTTCGAGGTGGGCAAAGGCTGCGGGACACGGGTTAAGAAGGCAGTGGGGAAGAACGTGAGCAGTAAGAAGTAAGATAATCATTGTGGTTATGAAAGGTTAGCTCAGGTTCCAGACTCTTGAAATCTGCTGGTTTACAGTGAACTTGAACTAAATCTCCTATAAATCAGTGAAATAAATCCCAACCAAGTAATTACACCTAAACAAAGCTGTAAGAGAGAAACCTAAATATCAATTAGGAATTAAACTCCATTTAAAAGTTTAAATGTAACTCCACTCAATTACATTATTTTAAATTATTATTAATTGATAAAATGAAGGGACATCTGCTTTGTATTTCCTAGAAAGTCACAGCCATATTAGTTAGTACTAACTCTTTCCTAAGAAGTCTATGTTTTTTCTTAGGTGGGATTGCTTATGGAGTCAGAGCTATAGAGCATAAGATGCATTATTAGTACAGCCAAGAAGACAGAACAAGAACAGAAGCCAAAATTAATAAAAGTTTATGTATAGGGAGTTTATTTAGAGAAAAGTCAGGCATTTTTCAAAGGCTGTTGGAAGGCTGCTGTTTGAAATAACAAAGGCATTATCTTGCCTCTAATAAAAATAACTACACCCCAAAGAAAGCAAGATAATGCTATTAAAAAATCCTTATATCTGCACATATTTGCTGCGACAACCTCTTTATAAATATTTTCTTTTTTGTAATGGTACAAGTTATAAGCTCAGTGAAAAGAAGGAATGGCTGATTCACATCAAATCTAGGACTGGTAAGTAGGGCTGACTGTTCTCACAGTATCCATTTCTACTTGAAAGAAGATCAATACAGAAGGATGGGATAAGTTATGGCATCACCAGCTGGACTTCTCAATATTGCTTAATCACCCAATCAAACCAATGCTTCTGACCTTAATGGCAGAGGAAAAAATTACAAGAAGTGTAATGACATGGTAGCTGAAAGCTTCCTGTCCTGGAGAATTTAATCCTTAGCTATCAGGGTGTAGATAACAAGCCTATTCTTTTGGTTCAAATTATTTGTATATTTGCATATAGAATGTATATAGAATAAGCAAGCTGGAGACTATTTTTGTAATGGAGTATCAAACCACAATCAGTAAAAGAGCACTTTGTTCCCATTATAGACAAGCACATTTTTGCAGTTGCAATTATATTTTATTCTCATTAAACATTTTTTCATTTTTGTTGTCTTTTTTTAAATCAAAACATAGTCAAAGTTGAATTGCTATGAAAAAGATTATGAAAAAGGTTACAGGTAGATATTAATTTTAATCTAATTTATAAAGGTACTACTTTACTTCAGAAAAGCATAATTTTCTTCCTTCTGAAATTAATATTAATTTTCTCAAGCAATTGCTTACATATGAAAAAATATGAGTCCCAACAGTAACTTATTACATAAAGGAGGTTAAGAAAATTCAGAAGCAAATATAGTAATATTCCTCAGAAGTGAAGATATATGCTAAGCAATTCAAGTGTTCTGTTTTCTCATTTTTGTCATTTTTTTCTGATTCAAAATTCTGATACTATTAAAAATCAGTATAGTTTTCCATGTCCAGATCACCCATAGTATAACTAATACATTCACCCAGGTATGTATCTTAATACCTGAATATCCAGTCACCTCCACAAAGGGCAGGTCCTGTCCTGCAATCTGGCTCAGCTGATTTTAGCAGGACTCAGGCACTTTTCAGGGTTTGCCAGCAGAGAACTCATTGTAAGTCCTAAAGAAAGCACCTTTCAAGTTTACTGATTTCAACTGTGTGTTACTGCTGTTAGTCAGCTGTAGGAATCAGATATCAGGGACAAGTATTAACTAAATCAAAAAATGTCATTGTAAGATATCCAGCCTCTGCTTATAGTCATGCTGAAGCATCTTGGAGAGGTCCCTGAATAGCAATAGCTTCAATCTCAACTCTGGCCCCCTGGAACAAAACAATGAAGAAACATATTAGGAGTTTAATGTATCTATTTTATGAAGGAATTGGATGAACAACACAACTTCATAAGAACAGACAGACATCTGAGAGAGATTATATTTCTGACAGTTGTATTACTGATTTAGCAATGTTAGTAATATTGTAAATTCAATTTATGCTCACTCAAATATCATAACCCCTTATTTCAAATGTTTTATCTATCTTCACCATAAAGAAATCTCATGTATCTGATACATATCATATGAATCTCATATTCAGATCTCTGATAATGTGTGGGAATAACAATAGTATACTTAGAAAATAAACTAATTAAGAGTCTTAATTACAATAATTGCAATCAAAGCTGTATCAGAATAAGAAAAGTTGTCAGAATGTTTCAGTAGTAAGGTATTCCAGAAAGTTTTTGGGCTTTTGTAGACAGAAAAGTGACACTTACTCTGGGCAAAGCAGCAACTTGATAGGCTGCTCTGGCTGGGAAGTTTGCCTTGAAAACTGCAATTTAAACAGAAACATCCAGCAATCACTAAACTTGGCTTGAAAAAACACAGTTCAAAGTAATCTGTATAAAATGCAATCATTGGAACAATTTCAGGTTCAAGGCTACAAGACTTCTATGGCAGCTATCATTTCTCCCTCGTTGTTTTGTTTTGGTGACTGACAGCTCTCAATCTCAGCAAGCCACCACTCATCCCCAAGCAGTCAGCTGCAGTTGTGACCTAGTGGCCAGTGATAATTTGCATTCTGCTGACACTGCAGAGCCTTAACACCAACTTGGCTGAAAAAGGAAGATTAAATCAGAATGGTAACCATCCAGTTTCAAACACCAGAGTGGGAGATGGCCCTTTCATAGAAAGAGCAGGAGAGAGAAACAGGCCCCTACCAAAAGGGTCATAAGCAAAGATCCCAGATTTACATAAAGTCACCAGGAGTCCAACCTTACTCATATGAAAGGAAAACAGAGGGAAAATAGGCCCTTGCTTTATTCCTCTGTGCCCATTTAGACCTGACAAATACAGATATTAGAGGTAAGCCGTGGGGAAGGGTACTAGTAAAGTTATAAGAGCTGAATTTATAGAATATTAGAATAGTTCAGGTTGAAAGGAACCTTTAAAAATCACATAGTCCAATATACCACCATGCCATGACCAAGAACATCTTTCATTATATCAGGCTGCTCAAAGTCCTGTCCAACCTGACTGAACACTTCCAAGAAATTTGCATAATGAAGTGAAAGTTTTACTAGTGACAGTTATCACAAAACTGTTAATAATGGCAATTTCAGGGTCCTGCATTGAAATAGTAACTCACAATCAAAGAACAGCAGCAACTGTTTTCTCAAACACCGGGTTGGAGGCAACAAGTAAGTAAGCACGCAGCTGGTCTGGTTTTACCCTGCTTAAGCACACACACACCCCAGTACACTTTGACAAGTAGGAGGCTGTGTTACTTGCTCATCAATGAGACTTCATTCAAGACCAGATGTTGCTATCTAATTAAAAGCCAAAGCAATATAAATAAGGAGCTCGTGCAAATTGCCCCAAACTATTCTGCACAACACAGCTTGTTGGAATCACCTATTTCAGTCTACATTCAGTTTTGTTGACCAAGCATCGTTCTCTTTTTTTCTTCAAGGGGAGCAGCGTGGCTCATCCTTGTATAAAGAATGAGCCCTGTCCCACAGCAACGACCCTCAAGTTGCTCAAAGATACTCACTTTAAAGAAATTGATATAAAATCTGAAGTTCAGTATATGAAGGCTGCCTACAGCAGAATTAGAGCCAGGACAGCAGAGCATCCAGCAAGATAAAGAGGCTAAGAAGATCAAGCTGCAGGGATAGCAGGAACTGATCTTCACAGGACAGTGAGTTAGTGGGAAGGTAGAACACAAATCTACATGAAATTAGGCTCTGCTTGATCTGATACTTAAAAATGAAATTTAAAAAAAAAATTCTATAGAAATTTCAAAGACTATGAAACTACATCTTCTACTCCTTCAACTACCACAAACATAATTTGGTCCACAAGCCATACTGGTAAAACACAAGGAAAATATCTACTTACATTGTTTGTAAACATCATTAATATCATTGTAGTCCTTCATGTCTGCCATCAAAACTGTAGTCTTCACAACTAGAAATCATATAAGTGCACTTATTTTAGACCTCTGACTTGCATACAAAAATTGAAAAACTTTAGTGCGTTTCTTGCTTTTATTTCATACATTTCTCTCAAGTATTCTAAACATTCTGAAAAGTTTTGCAGATATTGACCATTACCGCTACAACCTAGGGAACCACCTAAAAAATGTAAGCACCTAGTATGTAATAAAACTTAAGCCATTCCTGACTAGCTTTGAAAAAGGCCAAATTCTTCCAAGAGGCACTGAACTGAGAAGCAGATAAATTAAAATGGCTGCTGTAAGCCAGCTGTTGGCAATAACTTATATATAATATCTGCTGCCAGAAAAAAATAGTTCATAGAAGGTCTGAAAATACAGTCTATGCTAGAATTTTTTTCCTAGGACCGCCTAACCCAGCATTAATCCTGGTGTGGCTCCACCAGTAGAGTTCTTCACCCAAAAAGTATTGAGAGTGTCTAGAATATTAACATCACAGATTACAAACCTGCTTTCACCTGGAGCAAAGCCTGGGATGCTTAAATATCTGTAGTCACTGCAACATTGTCTGTATCTGAGCTTTCCCAGTTGGAATTAAAGTATTAGTACAATTGCCAGAAATTTTTGGTGAAAGGCAGTGTTCCATTGATACCCCATTGCAAAGACTTGCATGTAGATTTATTTCCTTTATTTTTTTAACCTAAATTCACAATTTTTCTTGTTTCTTCCAGTTATTGGTAACAATCGAATGTTCAGCAAATAGCTTTTTTTTTAAAGTCACTTGATTTTTTTATATTTTAATTCAGGTTAAAAGAACCACCTGTTTGCCACATTCACAGCAGCACTTACCATTGCCATAGTCACAGCCTGCAGCTTTCAGGATTTCTCCCATGTTTTTTAGAGCCTAAAGAAAAATGAAACAAAAATCTTTTCACTATCAGCTGGGTTATATTTATCTAAGTTTGTAAATATGACTTGTGACTTGGATGAATCCATGTTTTGCTATAAGTTCAACCAGCAAAACCTCAACTGTCAAAAAAAGACTGACCTAAATAAAAGTTAATAAAAGGGAGAATCTAGTAAATATTAAGCCATGCATTTGTTAGATATAAATGCATGATGCACTCCATCTCATCCTATTACCTCATTCCCCCTCTTTGCTGCTGGGGAAGTAAAACTTTCCCTGACTCAAGCCAGAGTTTTTATTGCTTTGCTTCAAACATTCCTACATTAAACAGATTTCTACCCTGACCTCCAAGTTTTCCAAGTTGTTGGAAAAATGACAGCATTAATTAAGATGGAACGACTTCCTCCTGCTTTTCCCTCATCTGGAGGATGTGACGTGCTTTCTAATCTCCTCAATTGCTCACAATTCCATGTTTCATTAGACACATGTCAATTCCATTACAAGTTCATGGCTGGAAGACTTCTCACCTGTTTGGCTTCCTCCTTTGCCCCTCCAGAGACAAGCTGCCCAGTGGAAGGCTCCAGTCCTATCTGCCCTGCAATGTACATGGTCCGGTCCACCAGCACGGCTTGGCTGAAAACACAAGTGACATTTTAGGTGTAATGTTTCCCCATTAAAACATTTCAAATTACAAATCTGAATGCACATTTCAGAGTTTCTACAGTACTTTATAATGTATCAGAAAGCAGACTGAGGTTATGCACATGCAAGTCTGTACATGCAGTCATACATCAATCTGCTTATGCTTTTGAAGAGCTGAGATTACACCATCTATGGAAGGGTACAGCTCTGCCCTTGAGGAGATAAACCCTGTTTCTTGCAAAGGCACAAGGTAGGAATGCAGCAACACAACACTAAACTGAACTAGGTTCCACATAGCAGATAGCACAGAGGGAAAGCAGAGTAAATAAAAACATTTTTTGCACCTGCCCAGATAAATATTCCATCCCAATCTGAGAAGCAGACAATACCTTTCAACTACATTTCAGCTGCAGAGCAATAAAGGAAAAAAATAAAGTCAAAAGAGATTTAACCTTTTTCTTCTTAAACAGACACTATGATAATGAGTTACAGCTGTGAGGTGACACCCTGCATCCTGGCAATATTCCTCCAGAGGAATGAATTTGGCCAGTCAGCAAAACACCTTGATCACTCCACCACCAGAACAATCACTCTCCTCTCACCAAATAAAATGAGTGACTTCTTGGCTGGATTAATTCAGAAGGATGCAAAATTCAAACTATTTGCAAAACATTTATATAAAAATGCTTTTGCTGAAGTTGAGTTGGCAATTATTAATGTCTCAACTACAAAGGGGTTAAAAGTTGAAAACAAAGATTTAAACTACCTAGCAAACATTATGCAAGAGACACAACTTAATTCTCTTCAACCAATAATTAAAAATATTTTGCAAAGAAATTATAGAAAGATTCTTTTGGAAGTCTTTATGGCGTGTCAACACCATTTTTCATATCTCTTCTCATACCACAAGAAAATGCATTGTTTTGACCATTCAACAACTCTCACAAGCTACACAAACTTGAGTGAGGCACCTCCCTGAAGTATCTGAAACAGGAGGTTTGCTTCCCTTTAATGCTCATGGAAAAAGAAGGACACATTCAGAGAATTTTTTTAGTGCATGTCTCAACGGAGATTCATTCAGTTGGATTGTCTTAATCCATTCACCTCACAGAGGACCAACCTAATCTAAGAACTCAGTCAAATGATCAGGGTCAGGCAGTTTGAACAATGCCATCATTCCCGTGTTTCCTTTTACACCTGTCCTACGTTCTCCTATAATTTCATAAGGGGAAAAAATAGCCAGTAACTTGTCAGATATGGTAAACTGTCTTACATGGGGATTTTTTCTGTCATCAACTGACAAAACTGGAGTAAATCACACAAGTACACCATTCAAAGAAGAGAAACCAGTGAATAAGGCAGCCTTCTAGCTGACACAGTCCAGTTGATAAAAACGTGTGCATGTACACACAGGCTTCTTTAATTTTCTTTCCCACCATTCCTGCTGTGGAGGGAGGCACTCAGAGCACAAATTTCTGTTTCTGTTTGAAGCACAGAGAACTGTGCAGCAAGCAGGTATGGGGTCTCCAGTGAAACAGATTGTCTTGTACTGCTTATCACAAAGCAAATGACAGTGAAATGTTTATCTCAACAGAGATCTTCACAGAGTCCTAAATCATGAATAACTTGGGAAAGAACAAGCTGAAACCTTCTGATACCCTGCCACATTAACATCAGCACCAGCCTTTATTGGGCCCCCTTCTCTGTTCCTAAATCTCCTCTTCTTGGTGTGCTTAACAATGGAATCCTGTATTCACTGGGAGTAGGAACAATTTACTATCCAAGGAGTATGCTTCTACTGCACTTAAATGCACGAGTGAAGCTAAGGGAAACTTCAACTCCACAAACCCAAATCATTCTTTAACTGCAGATGCACCTTGTAACGAGGGCCAATCGAAGCTACTCATTCATCAGCAGGGACGTGAATGTGTGTCTAGTCATTCAGGTTACAGTGTACCCAAATGCATAACTGGGCAGACACTGTGACCTTAGAACAACATTGTCTGTCAGAGAGATGCTGTTAGGAACCATGCTCTTCATTAACCAAATCTTCTTTACACAAATGATTGTGGATTAATACAAGAGCAATATCTCTGGAGTGTCTTTTAAAAGATTAATAACATTAATGAGATATATAGACCTATACACAGACATGTGTCTTTTTATATATCTATCTACCTACCTATCTCAAGGTACTGGCAAATGGATGCAGCAAAGGAAACAGAAAAATACAGTAAAAATAGGTCGCCAAAAAGCATACTGAAGGGCTGTAGGAGAACCAGGAATGCAGCCCATACATCCCAATTCTTCATTCCACATTAAGCCCTCATTCCTGTGTAACCAAGCTCAGGCTTCACAGCAGAGATGTGGCAGTTACTTCTTATGCAACTTCTGCTCTCTGGACTTTGACAAGCTTACTAAAATCTGGTAAACCAGGTTAGTGATAAACTTATTGATGTTAGACCCATCATGCATTTAACAGGCTGCATAATAAGCAGTATTTTGTCAAAAACTACCAATAAGCACAACATTTTGGAGTGGAAAGCTATGTTGAAGGCTGGGACAGTGGTGTGTGGGTGCAGACAAAGAATTGTTGTCTTCCCGTGTCTCCTGACAGGACATGTTCTCCTGATGCCAAGCAATTCCAGGGCCCCTGGCTGCAATCCACCAACAGTTTATTGTTTACACAAGTTAATCTTCATGTCATGTCTCTCTGTTTCTACACTTTGTATTTTTCCATCTTTATCATGCCTATAAGAAACTCAGTTTGAAGCTTAGGAAGCTCAGGACACAAAGTAATGGAGACAAAAAATGCACCTGGAAGGCACAAAGATGCTACTGTGAACACAAAGCCTGAATACAGAATTAAGAGTTCTTAGAAAAGTCCTGGTTAAAACCTCTCAGTACTTTAGCTATAAGAATCTACTATACTGACTGCGTATTTTTTCCAAATTGCAATATCCCAATTGCAAAGAGAAACCTTTCTCCAATTAAAACTGGGATTTTCTTTATTTTAATTATATGAAGAACTGCTACAACAACATATTTACGGAAGCGTTGAACATCTTACATATTCTCACAGCAATTAAGTTTTTAGACTGAAAACCATTTAGAACTATTCAAAATAAGAAAGAATTTTTAATTCCCAGGCATTGAGTTCTCCATTTAATCAAGCTCACCCTGGACTGAGCTCAGCCTTCACTCTCCATAACCTGCTTAGTCAGCATCTCTAGCTTCCCTACATAACATGCTTGTCTCTAGACAAGCACCTTGTTTTGGAGAACAATCATTCTTTTTTTTTTTTTTTTTTTTCATTCACTGCTTACCACTAATTCCAGAAATATTTTCCCAAACTAACTTTTTGAGGTATACCCCCTCCCCTTATGGGGCTGCATTTTGCCGTGGCACGACAGCTCCACTCGTGCTCTGGGACTCCGGGGGTCCCTGGGGGTTATTTGGGGAGGGGGTTCCAGGACTTGCCCCTGCTCCGGGGTCGGGCTCTCACCTCAGCCCCGGGCTTGTCTGACAGACCCCCAGGGACCTGCCAAAACCCCACCAGCAAAACCTGCTCCTGTGTCTCCTGAGAGAGCTCCTGCTCCCAAAATCACAGAGTTGTTAAGTGTTGGAAGGGTCCTCCGGAGATCATTCAGTCCAATCCCCCTGCCAAGGCAGGGTCACCTGGAGCAGATTACACGGAATGCATCCAGCTGGGCTTGGATTGTCTCCAGAGAGGGACACTCTACAACCTTCCTGGGCAAACTGTTCCAATGCTCTGCCATTCTCAATAAAGAAGTTCCTCATGTTGAGCTGAAAATTCTTGTGTTCTAGTTGATGGCCACTGCTTGTCCTGTTACTGGGCACCACTGAAAAGAGTCTGGGACCATTTTCTTGGCACCTGCCTTAGAGGTATTTATAGGTGTTGATGGGTTCCCCTCTCAGTCTTCTCTAAACAGCTTCCCCAGTCTCTCCTCGTAAAAGAGATGCTCCAGACCCCTCATTATCCTTGTGCCCCTCTGCTGACCCTCTCCAGCAGCTCCTCGTCTTTCTTGTACTGGGGAGCCCAGAACTGGACACAGCTCTCCAAATACGGCCTCACTGGGGCTGAGCAGAGGGACAAGATCACATCCCTCGACCTCCTGGCCACTGTTCCCGATGTACCCCAGGAAAGCATTGGCCGCAAGGGCTCTGCCGGCTCATGATCAACTTGTTATCCACCAAGACTCTGAGATCTAAGGCATTACCTGTAGGGACCCAGTGCAGGGGCCTTCGTAGTGCTGATTATCTTCTTCACGAGCGAGGCCATGACCGGAGCCAGTGCTGAAGCTGCAGTAAATGTTGGGGCCTCCCCTCCTTCACTCCCTCCCCTCAGCACACGCCCCACCACCGCCCGCGGGCGCTTCTGGGAAATGTAGTCCTCCAGGGCTGTGCCGGAGGAGTGCGCATGCGCTGTGCCGGGGCGTGGATGTGCACGTGTGCTGGTGGAGGCCGCGCCGCCACTGAGCGCCGGGCTGGGGCTGGTGATTGCGGCTGCACCTGCACCGCCGCCGCCTGCCAACCTCTCCCCTCCTCTGCCCGCTACGGAGAGGCTCCACAAACCCGCCGGAGATGTCTGGGGCGCGGGAGAAGAAGCGAGCCAAGAAGATGAGGAACCAGCCGGCCAGCGTCACGCTGCCCGCAGAGCCGGGGCCCTTCGCCGGCGGCGGGAGCAGAGCCTGCCCGCCCTCAGGTACGGCTGTGGGAGCCCCTCCCGGGTCTGGCAGGGTGACCCCCCTCAGGGCCAAGTGTCCCCCTTTCCCCAGCCCGCAGCGTGCTCGCCGTGGGAGTATCCAGGGCTTCCTTCCCTGCCGTAGTCTCCTTTAGTCCTGGTGCTGCCGTAAATCCCGTTAACATGGGATTCTCTTTAACATGAGAGACTTGTGCAGTCTCCGTGTCTGAAGCCATTCCAAACCCACCCGGACGCGTTCGTGTAACCTGCTCTGTGTGACCCTGCCTTGGCGGGGGGGTTGGACTGCATGGTCTCCAGAGCCCTTTCCAACCCCAGCTATTCTGTACCCTGTGAATGTGCGCTTCTCTCTGCCATCACTTCGATTACAGAACGAGTCCCTACGGTTTCTAGTCGTAAAATGAATTTGGATGTTATACCTGTTATAAATGAGAAACAAAAGTCTCAATATTTAACAAAATTTAGATTGCTTTATTTGATATAGATCAAGCAGCGCTTGGTTTAAAGCCTCTTCTTATAGTATGGTCTCTCGTTGTAATTAATAATTCTTGGGTTTTTGTTTTTGTAATTTTGCTAGGTAAGCAGTGGTGGTCGAATAAACCTCCATATTCAAATTCACGAAGACTCTGGATGATAGTTAGTCTCACAGATAACCATCTGGTCTTTGTAGATAACCACCAGCAAAATCTGGAAGTCTGGTCCTTGAGATAGGCAGCATTGATTAAACAAAGGCGGGGAGGATTATTGGGAAGTCTGATTTTGCAAGCTGGTAGTAGATACAACTTATTTGGAAAACATAATATTCATAAGAAGGTTATTTAAAACAGAATGATTTAATAATATATTTTCCTTTATCTAGTGTCCATGCTTCACTTCAGAGCTTAGTATTCTGTTTTATACAAACCCCAATACTTTTGTGATTAACACGAATCTTTTATCAATTATCACATACCCAGTCCAATTTCTCCCTTGCCAGACCTGGAGCTGCAGGAGGGGCTGCTTTAGCCTTCTGATGCTATGATAGATGCGCTGGTTTTCCCTCAGATCTGCATGCCCGCTCAGTTTGCCTCCTGGGGCTTGTGGCTCCTGTGTCTGTGAAGGGTGCTGGCAGGAGCAGCAGGACATGTCCCTAAAACGGCAGTGACCTGGGTCGTTGCTGGAGCATTTTGTACACAGGCAACCTTTGCAGCTGAAGGATCCTGTCAGCTTGTATGCTAGATGCTTTTTTGGTCTTTGTGGTTTGACCTACAACCTCTATGCTTCCATCGGACCTCAATTTCCACCATCACCTTCACATTGAGATATTTTGTTACTTACGTTATTTCTGGGAAAAACCCCACACATAAAAGGACTTGTTACTGTGAGGCCTTTAGAAGTTGACAAATTGCGTCTTTGTGATTGAATGAAAAAACCCTTAAGTGTCACTGTGTATTTAGGTGACTGAGGAATTCCTAAGCAGACAGAATGACATAGCAAATTATGCTTAGCCATGTCTGAAGATTTTGGAATGTCATTACAGGAGTACTGCCAGATTAAACACATTTTGCTAACTTTATTTGTAGCAGGGAACTTCTAAGATTATGTGGTTATGTTTTTCCTTTCTGTTAAAAGGCATGGATTTTCATCCATGTAACATTCTTCTGTATTGGAGTTTTACAGAGCTATTTTGTAGAAACAAAAAGCAAATCTAAATAGGAGTTACAAAACTATGGATCTATGTAGTAGCTACAATAATTTGAGGGTTTTTTAGTTATTAAATCAGTGACTTGCCAAACAGTCTTCTGTCTTCTGATTACAATTTTTACTTCCTTCATTAAGAGGGTGTGTTTGTGATACCAGTTAATTTGGGCTGTAGGCCTACACAGATTTGCTGACTGAGACAGCTTCCATCCCTCTTTCCTTTCAATACTGGATTAAGTGCTTGTCCCAGACAAGTAACTTCCTGTTCCAACATACATGTATCATGCTTACTTTAATTATTGCTATAAAAGAAATATATGTCAGGCAAGGACACATTTACTTATAGAAAGAAAATGAAGGGGCAGATGAAAAAATAACTTTGCTGTTTTGTTACTAAAACTCTGACAAGACGATAATAAAAATCGCTATGATGTTGCATGGACTGATTTCGTTCTGGCTCTTAGAGGTAAAGTCTGGATTTTCAGAGCATGCAGAAGTTACTTTATCTACCACAAGTTTGCTGTAGGGCAGCGTAAAATTCTTATTTATTCCTGTCAGAAAGAACTTAATTCTTCTGATTTCTGGTATTAAATATAATTGGAGGAGTCTGCAATGCAGTTTTATGAGGAAAGACCAATAGAGTTATCAGTTACTCTGACTATTTTTTGTTTCTCTAACCTCTTCATCTCTAAACCTTCCAGATGTTCATTCTGAGCAGCAGCAGAAATTTTCAAGTCAGTCGTCTGGGCCTTCTTACAGGAAAGACCAATATTTTTCAAAGGGGCAAAGTAGAGGAGAGAGAGGCAGAGGAAGAGGAGGATGGCAAGGAGGACACCAGAGTGTATCTGAGGAAATGCCTAAATACATAACAGGTTTGTATATGTGAAAAGGTAATAATTTATCTGTCTAGGGCAGTTTGCTGGTGATTAAGTTTGCTGTCTTTGTTTTTGTGCAAGAGCAAAAATTAGAACTGATGCTCTGTACTTCTGTTTTTCCTGATTTTCTCCAAAACACAGAAGTAGTTGTGAACTGGAATGAATGATTAGCTTTTGTTCAATGGGTCCTTTCAGACTTCTGAGTGGAAAAGTTAAACCTGCTTGTAGTGAGGGATATGCATTTTGGTTTCTGTTTGCCAGCAAAATGAGTACTGACAGTCATCTACTTTTAATGTAGCAGTGAAACTGATTTTACTCTTCTGTAGAGTGATGTAAGTTAAAGACAGCTTTTTGTCTAACAGAACGTTTATTTAGGAGAGTAAATCGGCTTTGCAACATGTGGCAGTGCTCTGCTCTGATAGTAGATACACTTCCATAAACATGAAATGAGACCAAGCTCTGCATTTTTATTTGGTTGTTTTAAAACATTCTCTAATATGTTACTGCTTCTGTTTTTTTTTCCATGATAAAGGGTTTTTCATCTCCCTGAATACCACCTGAAAAGATTGCTATTCTAATTTAACAAAGAAGTATTTAATGCAAATAGGAATTGTTGGTTAAACGCTTTCAGATTCATTCATGTATAAATATTTGCTTGACCATATCTGTAAACTTCAGGATATGTAAAGAACTGAAATGTCTTCAGTGACAGTGTACAGGACTTACTTTTATGTCAAGAAGATATCAGGCTGCTGTACTAGGAGTAATTCCATAATCTACATACGGTATCCTCCTCTGTTTTTTTTTTTTTTTGCTGCTTGTTGCACTCTGATGCAGTTCTTTTCATTCCAGTGTCTACCTTTGCTCAAGCTCGTGCTGCTGAGATCAATGCCATGTTGAAAGCAGTTTCACAGAAATCTTCCAATTCTCTGGTGTTCCAGACCCTCCCTAGGCACATGCGAAGGCGAGCAATGAGTCACAATGTTAAACGCCTGCCCAGGCGGCTCCAGGAGATGGCCAGGAAAGAGGTATAAGTGTATTTTACAGCATTTCATGTAGTGGGCACAGCCAAAGCACAGTGTTCAGCTCTATAGTTATTAATGTTCAGACCTGAACATCTGCCAGAGTTCCTTGAGTACCCTAAACTCTTGACTGATATTTGCATTCAAAATGCAGGAACACCTCAGTTTCAGGTGGTAACTCAAGTAGGTCTCACTAACCACCTGGCTTTATTAGAGTAGTGATTAAAAGAGTCCACTAGGTTGTTCAGGTAGTCCAAGAGTCCTCAGTAAGACCTGGCTGCCTTGCACCCCACCTCAGCTTTAGGATGTGACCATGCCAGCCTCAAGCCAGCACAGCTGACCTGATTGTTCGAGTGTTACAGCTCAAATGTGGGAGATACACTGGGGTTATTGGAAGGCTGCATGCAGCTTAAGACTTACTAATTGACTAGTCCTAACAGCTCATCAAAGTCATTTTGTGGCAGTATCTCAGTATTTAGTCAGAATATGACTATGGGGGTTACTTGCTCTTTGCTCACTGTGGCCTTCCTGTATGTTTAAAAAGGAAAATTAAAAATTGTTCAGCGGGATGTTATTGGGAAATGATCATCCCAATGTTTGGCATTGATTACTTTATCATTCTGAAATGAGAATTCTTAAAGTGGTCAATTGATTTTGCTTGGTAAATTTTCTATGTATTGAGGTTGACTGATAAATATATTTATTGCATTCTTTTTTTGCTTTGCATTGTCTTGAAGTTGAGACCTTGCCCCCTCCACCCTGAGCTCCTGAAGATAATATTCATGGTTCAGGAATTGTTTCAGACACTTCTCTGCCACACACCGATTATGTGTTTCTTAGGGTGTTTTGCTGGATCTTTACAACCTGTATATCATTTTACTGTTTTGGTTCACATTGGTTTTGCTTTGTCAGACATGGCAAGAGATGCAGTTTGGGCCTGTTTTCTAGGAACTGAAGGAAGAAGGCATGGGCTGTTTTGCAGTTAGTTATGTGTCATCCTTGTTAAATCCAGATTTCGCTATTGTTTATGTTTGGTT